GACTGCTCCAGCTTCTGGCTCATATAAGGATGTGGCTACGGAGTGCTAAAAAATTCCCTATAATCAAAAAGTGAAGCAAGATTTGAGACAGGAGCTATCCTCTTGCACTAAAGGCAATGATGATAAGATTAGTAAGACATTTGATATTCAGATTCCTGAACTCTCTTTAGAAACAATTCTGATGGGATCTAGTGAAGTTACAGCACAGAATATAACTGATCTATTTAGAGTAGCAATGAAGCTTAGACGTAAGGAGATTTTATACTGATATTGTTACTATAAAGCATATGAGGATCGAGTCAGGGATATTAAGTCTAAGAATGGTGTTGATGACAAATCAGCAAGAATGTTAGTGTACAGCGAAATCAAACCCCTTTTTCCTGACATTACTGATGTAAACTTGCGTAAATTAACTTTTAGAGCTAAAAAAATCTATATATTGTTTGATAGAATAGGAATAAATAGAACCCAAATAATTAGCTGTAGCGCAAGTGCCATCTCAAATTTATCTGATAATCAGATCCAGGAAATTATAAATGATTTTCCCAAAAAAGCTACTAATACAGATGATGTAGGTTATGAAGACTCTGTTCCAATTTGGAACAGACACGTGACTTTGAAAACCAATAAGACTGATGCATTGGAGGTGCAAGTGATAGAAGTAAGTACATTGGCAAGTGTATCATCTACATCCCAATCCCATGACCAATCCTATTTTCGCAACAAGACATTGGGTCATTATCCCAATTTATATAGAGAATTTAGTAGTGAAAATTTTGATTATTATGGCATTACTAATAAGACATCATGCCTATTATGCAAATTAGATCATAATGAAGAAAGTATAGAAGGTAGATATAAAGCCGGATCTTACTTTATTAAATGCGAACAGCGTGAAATTGAGATAGTTGCATAGTTTCATAGTTTTATAATTTTATAGCCTATTTGCCCACGCTTCATTTATTTTTTTTACAAGGTTAGTCTATGTCAGCTATTACCTAATTTAAATTGTTTGCAGTTATATAAAAAGAAAAATGACCAAGTCTGATAAAATATTAACCCCCGAATATCTAGATTGGCATGCCAAATTAAGTGGGCTACCAAGCATTTTGACGAATAAGATTCAGTCGAACTTATATAAAAAATATAAACAAGAAACTGGACATAAGCCGTGGCAATTATCAAAAGCTGTGATAGTGTTAGCAAAACCTCAAGCCCCTGATTTCAAGCCTATCACTTTTGAAGCCAGACCTGATCCAGAATTAATTATCAAATCCGTCTTAGAGCACTTCCTATACTTGAAATTCTGAAATAGTTTTAGGGGAATTGATAATTATAATTTTGCATCACCTCAGCCGTGGAGCTTACTATGCCCTATTTGCAATAGAAAACATGGGAATTATGTATTACATGGCGAATAGTATAGAAATGAAACAGAATATTGTCTTACCTGCAATACTTCAAGTAATAAACTCAAGTTCGCAATCGTAATATAGTCTGGTTATGTGGGCCGATCACCACCTCCAGGAAATCTGCATTATGATATTAGAGAAATTACAGTAAGTACATCATTACTGTACTTCTCACAGTAATGGGCGCGTAATTTAACTACACCACTAATGTGATCGTGGATAACCGCAGTTATTTATTTTGGAGGAACCTATTAATAAATAAACCCGGCCGTTTTCCTAATGCTATCCTTGAGATCCCGAGTAATATATTTTTTACTGCTTTTTTTATTAGAAAATTATTTATATCAATATCTGCAAGCAAACCAAAAATTTATTTTTATAGAATGTGACACCAGGTCACAACATCACGTGATATAAAATCGCGTAAAAATGAAAATAGCGAGGGCATGAAACCCCTCCCTTTATTTCATAAAAATTGTTGCCGGAACGACAATGTATAATGAAAAAATATATTTTTTATTATATAATAAAAACACAAATGAGAAAATAAAATATATATTGTTATTTTTACATATCAATATAACCTGCATTATCACTACCACCAGCATTTTCTTGAACAGAAACGAATTCAAATTCTAAATTTATAGTATATTGTAACTGTACCGTTTTCCGAAGTGGACCTTGATTATTCTTAATTTCATCCAGTCATGTTATAACACCATTAATATCAAAATATTGACCCACTTGTTTATAAATTTTACTATGATTATACAACATAAATTAGAAGAAATCAGATATAAAAACGTAATACAAAAAACAAATAATTAGAAAACTGAGTAGTTTACAATTGTTTCGGCTTGTCTGCTTCTACTAATTTTAGACAACTATGATATTTCTCATTTTCATCATGATGGTGTATTGTTATTTCATTCGACTGAAGTCCTAAAATATCTATAAAAAATTATATTGATTAATTGTATTTTCATTTACAAAACCAATAAAAGAATTTACCATATTTGACTGAAACAAATCCATCATTGGAGGTGGTGCTATTGTTAGTGCTCATTTTTCATACCTAAATATAAGAAAAATTATAGTAAGTAAAAATTCAGTTTCATACTTTCCATTAAATAAAATAGCAAATTACTTTAAAAATAAATTACGGGCAAGTGAATCAAGTAAAAAATATATATGAGCAAAAATAACGTTATTGCTAACTTATCTTATGGGCGGGAGCCTGCTTATTTTTATAATTCACGTTCGTTAGGTCTGAGAACCTGCCAGAAGGAAAAATACATTAATAATTGTGTTACCCAATTTCAATGCAAGTTTTTTCTCCATAAAGCAACTCCGCTCGGTCATAACTTCCAAACACTGAATCTATTTTGTTATTTTTTGGTGAAATTAACCCCTTATAATCAACGATCAGGTTTAGCTCTGATGATCTCAGAGATGGCGGAGATTCCAAGTTCCTGCAACATATGAATTTTGATAAAAATACTAATAAAGAACGTTATACTCATTGTCCTTATATTTTTTTAAGTCTCATTCTTATCACGGAATTATATAAAGTAAGAAAAAGGGTCTAGACATTATTTGCATTATTCGTATTCGTTAATAAAAAAAAACACACTGTGAGAAATGATTCTGCAAGAGAGTGATACCGCATAA